TTTTTTTCCTATTTTTCACATGCAAGACCAGTTCTCCACTGAGGAGAAACTCACGTGAGTCCTCATTCAATAAGAAAGCTGGACTTGAGTCCTACAAGTAAAACAGACAGTAAAGGAGGACAGAGGGAAGAGCATTTACCAGTCATGCCAAAAGGATGGAGCAGAACCATTGAACAGCAAAGGCAGAGAGGACCTTGGACAGGACTGTCACACCTGCAGCCCCATAGAAAGTGATCAGGTGAGGATCTAAAGGGCAGTGCTCAAAGGAGAAGGAAGAAGGTTGAAGGAGCAGTCCAAAATAAACAACGCTGCAAGAGCAAAGGTTGAAAGCTCACACAATCCACTGCACTGGAATGTCACCCTTACAGGTGACACAGTGCTGAGCTTGGCTTGAGAAAAAGCTCCAAGGAGTCATATAAATGAGCAAAAATGATAAAAATGCCATCACTGCACAAACCATAGGAGAAATGCTGGAGGCAGAAACGTGCTAATAGAGCAGCCTGGAAGTGAGGGGTGTAGGAGACTGACAGAGAGGACAAGAAATCAACAACCTTATGGATGGTATTTTCTCCGCAGAAGAATGGGAGCCAGAGCAGCTGTGTCTTGAATTTCCATAAGGATCAGCCTCAACACATGCCATACCATAGGCAGGTACAATTAGCTTCTGGCCAAGATTCCTACATTCCAGGATTCAGTGTTCACATGAAAAAGGCTGTGTCAAAACTGCCCAGAACAGTCTCAAACGCATCAGTGAAAGGAAACAAGCAAGAGAAATGTTTGCTGCTTAGCCAGGGGACCAAGGTAGAATGGGAGACTGCAACAGACAGGCCAGATGTACAAAGATTTGAACTGAGCTCCAGAAAGGGTGCAGGAGGCCTCCCTGACACAGGCAGGGCCCAACAGTAACACAGAGTTGGCAGGAAGCCCCCACACCGATTCACAGAATCGTACCCACCATACCCCTCCACAGGCCCCTGCAAGGCTCAGCTGTGACTGGCCTCCAGCTCAGGCTGTCCTCTCCTGCCCAGCTACAACCCTCAGCCCAAGAACCACAAGCCTCAGCACAGCTCAGCCCTGACCCCTGCCTCTAGCCATACAGCTCAGCCAGATTTTAAAAAGAACTTTACTGAAGCTCCAATATATATTATTTTTGGCCTCTAAATACCCAAGTATCAGCACCTATTCCTGGCTCTCCAGTGCTATTCTGCAACCCTCAGCAGTGAATCCTTCAGTGCTAGATTTTCTGCTTGACCCCTACAGAAGGAAGAAAAATATTCAGATGCCTCAGGCATTGCTTCAGAAGAGCAACTGCTACCATGGTGGCCACGTGCTGGAGGTGATGTCTAGTTGGTATCCATACCGTCACACTCTTCTTGGGGAGGAGATGGGGCAGTATGTTCCTCACTGTTTCGGCGCTGATAGAACAGCACATACGCAGCTTTTGTCTACCAAACAAGAAAGAAAACCATCTGAAACCACCCACACTGCTTGGTTGGAAATGCTAACTCCACAGAGGGGAATCACACTTTCAGCACCAACTCAAAATGGCCTCAGGCCAAATACTCACCACTATTTGATCTTCTGAAGCCACCGACACGCTGCTGTCGTCAAAGTAGTACCACTTGTCATTCACCTTGTTCTTTGCGTAGGCAGTGTCTGTCGGGGCAAGAAACTGCAGCTCAGTGCTGTGGGGAAGGCCACAGGTACCACACATCTGCTGTGCTGCACAGACCATGCTCAGGTCTCCTTGTGTCCATGGGAGGCCAGGAGCCAGCTTTGGCATTAACTACCTCTAGTTCACCAACATGCACATCTAGCTGGCCCTGCTAGATGATCCACATACCAGACATATCCCTGATAGCTGAGATACAGGGAAAAGAAACTTAGGGAGAAAATGACAGTGTTTTGTTCACATGCTTTGAGCCAGAGCTTTC